TTCTTATGAATTACGTTAAGTTTTTAAGAAATATGTATTCCATTCTAGTTATTATTTTGTTTTGACAGCTAAATGTCTAAATTATTATCGAATCAGGTTTTTCTAACAGTATCTTGATCATAAAAAGAAGTACAGGCTTGCTAAGTGGAATATACTTTGCAAGCCAAGATGTATGGGGTTTTGGGCATCTTGAATTTAGAAGTAAGTACTATTGTTTACTCAGTAAATGATTGTTCAAACTTTTGAATGAGGTGGGTATTTGACAAGATGTGTTGAAAAGAAATATATTTAAAAACAAATGTTTGCCCCAAGTGGTAAAGCGGCTGTCCCACTTTTGGGTAGGACTTATGGATGTTAAAGATCTTTTCTAAAAAAAAGATTTAAAGTTAATAGTGTAAACTGAACTAGATTTTGGAAGGATCTTTGTATTGTACAAGAACCTTTTAAACTAAAATGTCCAGGTCTTACGGAATAATGAGAAGAAAAGATGTTAAACTAGTCAAAGGGCTAAGTTCAACCCCTCTGAACATTTGGTTTAGAAGGGCAATAGTTGGTGATAGGTCCAAGGATTGACTTAGTCTTGTATCCTTAGTTTTACCCATTTATTTAAATGAGATGGTTTTATTTGGCTGTTAAGGAAAAATAGTGTCTTCTTAACTCAATCTTTGTATGGAGATATCATGAAAAAGAGAGAATTTCTAGGGAAAATATTGTTCGGCAGAGATACCTTTGAAGATAAAGATTTTTCTGTGGTAGGAGAGGTGTGATCCTAATAAGGGCTCGTTCGTTTTCAGCTGAATCCAGGCCAGGAATAATTCTTGTTCACGAAGCTTATTCAAATTAGATAACAAATCCAGCCTGGAATATTTCCAGGAGTCATTCCCTTCAAACTAACGCGTGGCCTAAAAGATAATTTACTAAAGTGAGCCTGAAAAGGGAACACTAAGTGTAACTTATGTGGCTTAGAAGAAACAGTACAACACCTCTCTTTTGACTGTCAGATGGCTAAATTTTTTTATGGAATGCGTTGTTCATCATTTTAAATTTGCATCCACCCAAGAATACGGTCCACTTGTTTGGTTCTTGATAAAGAGTTTTGCTTCAAGTTTGAGAAACCAGGTTATAATGGGGTTGGCACACTACTACAGCAGGTTCGTCACATCCGGTCCAGAACCCCCCATCTCTGATGGTTATGCCACTTGGCACTAACTTGTCGACGGTGATGACATGGTTAACACCGACGGTTCAAAACCAGTAGTGTTAATAGTAGATCATTGCCGTTTTGTCATCTGATCCGTTGTTGTTAGGGTTATTTTCACAGTCGGTTCTGTCAAAATCCAGCATTTCATATTTTCTAAGCACCGCCGTTTTGTGGAAGCAAACGTCGTTGACTGTAATATGAACGACGGTTGATTGGTTCATCCGACGGTACCTAGGTGATATGCACTAACGTTTCATATTTTAATACGGTCATACAGCTGTGTTGGCCATTTGATCAAGATCGGTTATGCGTACATTCCGTCGGTGTATAGGTTGTTATGAAAGGTTGTCCATGTTTGCATCCACCTTTGATGACTACTATATCACCGGCGGATGTGGTTGGGAAACCGATGATGTCGTTGTCCACATGACTAACGGTTACTTGCATTAATGACGGTGAAACACATTATGATCGGGGCGTTTATCGGGTTAAAGCGGTGGTGGTAAGTTTTGGTATTAACTCCGGTTTTTAATCCATGGTGGTAGCCGGGCAACTCCTACGCGGGGCTGCCGCGGGCGTGAGTAGGGCGGGGCGAGGCGAGCGGCGCCAGGCGCCAATGCGAGCGAAGTTCTTAGTATATGGCGGCGAATCTGGTGTCGCCGCTTTTTTTCTTTTTTTTTGTTTTGTGAAAATAAGAATCACTTTGTCGCCCGAAGAGTAGAAAGGACCGCCCTATCACTATCGACCTTGTACTACGGATCAAAATTCGGCGATTAAAGCCGATTTTGAACCTGTAGTGGATAACAACACTTGCATAGTGGAGGGAGCCATTCAACTTACTTGTCATCAAGTACTTCGGAGGCTATTGTCGATGATATGGACCCAGGGTACGTCATCAGACGTTGTGATCATGCAACTCTACGTAGGAAGCTTATGCAACGACTTCACCGAGATATGATAGCCATTCTGTTATTGTTTCCTTCTAACTAACTAGTAAACATATCTGTAAACCGATTGTTATCTATGTAACCCTACCCCAAATATATAAGGCGGGACAGAGAGCCCTCGATCGGTACCAATTAAAATACTCAGAAACCCCTTGTAACTCGAGCACGCGAGATAAAGAAGATCTACTTCAAACTGGACGTAAGGTATCACATACCTGAACCATGATTCCATGTACGTGATACGATGATCTCCATTGCAGGGGTCAAAAACTACGACACTATGCGACTCACAACATTCTTTTTTCCATGCACAAATTAAAGAATTGCATTTTCCCTTATGCGGTCCAACATGAAACCTACCACCAGAGAAGCTTAAAGGCAGGTACATTGCTACATGCCAGCGGTCTTAAAGATCGTCTCATGCAATATCATATAGGATCTTTTTTTTGTGACGAAAGAAGAATTATATTAGATAATAGCTGGTTCTATCAACACATTACAAGTACTCTGGAATACACTACATATATCCAGAAACAGATTTTCATCTAAATTGTACCCACGCTATGAAAAGCTCAAAATCTCAAAACGAAACCTATTTGACGCTTCGTATGGATGATCGCACAAGCAAACACTTGGTAACAGGTCGAGAATAGATGCCCAACAAATGGCGGCCAACATCCTTTGCGGTGGTGTTGACAAACTTCTTCTTTCTTGTGTCTTCCATCTTTTCTTTACGCCTTTGAAGAATGAGGAAGACGATGTGAAACTTATTCTCGAGTGACGTTAGAAAAGTTTGAGGTAATTTTTCAAAATAAAAAGAAAAGAAAAGTTTGAGGTAGCTATATTTCTTGGGCAATGCTGGTATTTTTTCAAAGAAAAGAGCACCTTTTCATTTATAAAGGGCCATTATGACAAGATGATGATTATCAGCAAAAAGATCAAAAAAAAAGAACAAAGGACATAAAACACTGCATCCACGGTAAGCATGGATAACAAAACTGTTCATCATTCAGACCGAACCGCGACGCAACCATCAAAGGCCCAAAGTACTCCCTCTATCTCATAAAAAAAACTAATTATAAGTTTTAGATAAGCCAGAGTTTATAGGGAAAAAACGTCAGCATTTATCTCCAATTAGATTTACCATGAAAATATATTACATAATCAATGTAATGATACTTACTCGATATAAATTTTTGTATAAGTTTAGTCAAATTTAAAATTATTTAAATCTCTGAGAAATGAAATGAAAATTACATTCTTTTTTGAACGAGTGAGTAACATCATTCAACGCCAAGATAAGAACACAGTCGAAAGCACGCACCAGTGAGAGAGTGAGAAAGCTTTGTTTTCAATGGAAATACTTCGACACGGGCCCTGTCCGCCCGCGTCCGTTAGGATACGGCTTCCCACTCCGCTTTGCCTGCTACTCTCAAGAAAAAATCTCCTCGCTCCTTCGCCTCCTCCTGCACCGTCACCGCTACCTCCTTCCTCCGCCCAAGCCGACCACGCCATCTCTCTCTCGATTCGCAGCAGCCTCCCCGGCCGACCTCTTCCCAAGCCAACATTTGTTGGGATGCCTCATCAACGTGGCTGTCGCTGCTGCTTCGCCGATGGCGGCTGGGCGCCGCGTGTTGGGCGCCTCAGGTCGTCCCAGCTCTAGCCAAGGGGCACCCACGAGCACTGCCAGTACTAGTGGTGCTTTCGCGTGCCACCGCTTCGCCGGCGGCTCCCACCCTCGATGGCTGAATCGATCGCCCCGATCTCATTTCCTTTGTTGCAAACTTATGTTTGATTGTTTTAGAGGTATGTTACAAGTGTTTAATATGAATATTGCAAAAGTAGATTGGGATGTTGAATATGTTGCAATGGTTATACACGTGGGCTGCAAGCATGTATTTTAAATGTTTCATCTGTTTTTTTCAGACGTATGTTGCAAGTGTTTTTATTTGGATGTCGCACATGTTTCACACATATATTGTATTTGTTTCACAAATATGTTGTAAGTGTTTTATCTGGATGTAGCATATATTTTGCAATGGCTTCTCAAGTGTTTTTAGGTGTTTTTGCAAGTGTTTTGGACACATGTTTTATCTGCTTTCGCATTTACGTGTTGTAAATGTTTTATCTGGACGTTTCTAAAATGGATCGGGTGTTGTACAGGTTGCGTTGTGACTCACCTGCCACAGTTGACTGCTGCAGCTGCTGGGACAGCGTGCATGCGTGTGACAAGATGATGATTATCAGCGAAAGAGTACCAAAAAAAACAAAGGACATAAAACACTGCATCCCCAGTAAGCATGGACAACAAAACAGCTCATCATTCACCAATCACCACGAAAGGTCCTAAATAACAGCATTTAGCGCGAAGACAAAACACAGTCGAAAGCACGCACCCCAGTCAGATTGCGAGAAAGCTTTTCTTTTTGCAAAGGTGAGAGCGATAACGTTGAACCAAGGCAAAGCCATGCGCATGTCCCGTCCTCACCAACTCTTGGGTCTTGAGTTCTGATGCGCACCAACCGCAGACCTGCTGCGACCGAGCTTCCTGCCCCAGCGATGAACACGAAAGGCCACCAAGATTGGCACATGTTTGTCTTCTCTTCCAACTAACTGGCGCATTGGCATGGTCGTCTTGGACCAGTCACCACAGTCCACACCACCAGCTCCCTTCCCGGAAGCCTATTTAAACCTCGCCGCTCCCACTGGTTCTGTCCAGGAAGAGCAGCACTACCAAATCCTAGCGCAACACTAGCTCTCCTGTACAGCTTCCCAACAATCCATATCTCGCTGATCGGAATTTCTCAAATCGATCCTCAGCTTCATCGGTGCTTTAGTTCTCTGTGCTTGCAATGGCGTGCGAGAACAGCAACGTTACTGCCAATGGCGATGGCCTGTGCATGGCGACGCCCCGCGCTGACCCGCTTAACTGGGGGAAGGCGGCGGAGGAGCTGATGGGCAGCCACCTCGACGAGGTGAAGCGGATGGTGGCCGAGTACCGCCAGCCCTTGGTGAAGATCGAGGGCTCCAGCCTCCGCATCGCGCAGGTGGCCGCCGTGGCCGCCGGCGCTGGCGAGGCCCGCGTCGAGCTCGACGAGTCCGCCCGTGGCCGGGTCAAGGCCAGCAGCGACTGGGTCATGAACAGCATGATGAACGGCACCGACAGCTACGGCGTCACCACCGGCTTCGGCGCCACGTCCCACAGGAGGACCAAGGAGGGCGGCGCTCTCCAGAGGGAGCTCATCCGGTTCCTCAACGCTGGCGCATTCGGCACCGGCACCGACGGCCACGTCCTGCCGGCCGAAGCCACGAGGGCGGCCATGCTCGTCCGCATCAACACCCTGCTCCAGGGGTACTCCGGCATCCGCTTCGAGATCCTGGAGGCGATCGTCAAGCTGCTCAATGCCAACGTCACGCCGTGCCTGCCGCTCCGCGGCACGGTCACCGCGTCCGGCGACCTCGTGCCGCTCTCCTACATTGCCGGCCTCGTCACCGGGCGCGAGAACTCTGTTGCAGTCGCCCCGGATGGCAGCAAGGTGAACGCCGCAGAGGCGTTCAAGATTGCCGGCATCCAGGGCGGCTTCTTCGAGCTGCAGCCCAAGGAGGGTCTTGCGATGGTGAACGGCACGGCCGTGGGCTCTGGCCTTGCCTCCACCGTGCTCTTTGAGGCGAACATCCTAGCCATCCTTGCCGAGGTCCTGTCCGCCGTGTTCTGCGAGGTCATGAACGGCAAGCCGGAGTACACCGACCACCTGACCCACAAGCTGAAGCACCACCGGGACAGATCGAGGCGGCTGCCATCATGGAGCACATCTTGGAGGGAAGCTCCTACATGAAGCTTGCCAAGAAGCTCGGCGAGCTGGACCCGTTGATGAAGCCGAAGCAGGACCGGTACGCGCTCCGCACGTCGCCGCAGTGGCTTGGCCCCCAGATTGAGGTTATCCGTGCCGCCACCAAGTCCATTGAGCGCGAGATCAACTCCGTCAACGACAACCCGCTCATCGATGTCGCCCGCAGCAAGGCTCTTCACGGTGGCAACTTCCAGGGCACGCCCATCGGGGTGTCCGCATGGACAACACCCGTCTCGCCATCGCAGCCATCGGCAAGCTCATGTTTGCGCAGTTCTCTGAGCTCGTCAACGACTACTACAACAACGGCTTGCCCTCCAACCTGTCCGGTGGGCGCAACCCCAGCTTGGACTACGGCTTCAAGGGCGCCGAGATCGCCATGGCGTCCTACTGCTCTGAGCTGCAGTTCCTGGGGAACCCGGTCACCAACCACGTCCAGAGCGCGGAGCAGCACAACCAGGACGTGAACTCGCTCGGGCTCATCTCCTCCAGGAAGACCGCTGAGGCCATCGAGATCCTGAAGCTCATGTCCTCGACGTTCCTGATCGCCCTGTGCCAGGCGGTCGACCTGCGGCACATCGAGGAGAACGTGAAGAGCGCCGTCAAGAGCTGCGTGATGACGGTGGCGAAGAAGACTCTGAGCACCAACTCCACCGGCGGTCTCCACGTCGCGCGCTTCTGCGAGAAGGACCTGCTCCAGGAGATCGAGCGCGAGGCGGTGTTCGCGTATGCCGACGACCCCTGCAGCGCTAACTACCCGCTGATGAAGAAGCTTCGCAACGTGCTCGTGGAGCGCGCCCTCGCCAACGGCGCTGCCGAGTTCGACGCCGAGACATCCGTGTTCGCCAAGGTCGCCCAGTTCGAGGAGGAGCTGCGCGCGGCGCTGCCCAAGGCGGTGGAGGCTGCACGGGCGGCTGTCGAGAACGGCACGGCAGCGGTACCAAACAGAATCACCGAGTGCCGCTCCTACCCGCTCTACCGCTTCGTGCGCGAGGAGGTCGGAGCCGTGTACCTCACAGGCGAGAAGACGCGCTCTCCCGGCGAGGAGCTCAACAAGGTGCTCGTTGCCATCAACCAGGGCAAGCACATCGACCCGTTGCTCGAGTGCCTCAAGGAGTGGAACGGCGAGCCCCTGCCCATCTGCTGAGCAGAGAAACGGATCGGGAGAAAGAGCGGAGTGTTCATTGTTCAATAGTTCGAAATCCGTTTTTTTTCTTCTTCCTTTATTTTTGGAACGTGGGTAGCAAAGGCTAATGACTGTATTCCATTCTTATGAATTACGTTAAGTTTTTAAGAAATATGTATTCCATTCTAGTTATTATTTTGTTTTGACAGCTAAATGTCTAAATTATTATCGAATCAGGTTTTTCTAACAGTATCTTGATCATAAAAAGAAGTACAGGCTTGCTAAGTGGAATATACTTTGCAAGCCAAGATGTATGGGGTTTTGGGCATCTTGAATTTAGAAGTAAGTACTATTGTTTACTCAGTAAATGATTGTTCAAACTTTTGAATGAGGTGGGTATTTGGCAAGATGTGTTGAAAAAGAAAGAGTAAATTGCACGGCTGGTCCTTAAAGTATTGGGCTGATTTCGTCTGGGTCCCCAAACTATTAAATCGCACAGTTGGCTCTCAAATCTACTTAATCCGGCCCATGTAGGTCCTAAACAGCATAGGCGGTGTCAAGGCTGTCCACGTATACACCAGTTAGCTCTGCTGACTTCGTGTCGACCGCGGCTGGATCGGATCTGGCCCACGGGTTCCAGATCAGACGGTTGGAGATCGTCTCCCGCGGGATTGACCAGTGGCACCGGTGGTTAGCGCTGCGAGGCACGGTGGCGCTGCCATGGGCAGCGGCGGGAGCTCGCCGGAAAGTGGTGGCGCTCGGGCTACAGAGCCCATCCGGGCACGGGGATTACTCCCACGCGTATAGCTCGACGTTGCGGACTCGTCTGACAACAAACGGAGGCCAGAGACGGTGGTAACGACGGCGAGGAGGACCGGGCACGGCGGCGGGATTCGGCGAGCTCGTGAGCGCGGAAGGAAGGGAGAGGGCGGGACAGGCATTGGAGGGTTACTCACCTCGTTACGAAATTCATCGTGAAGGTATCGCCGGTGGGGACGTGGCAGGCGAGGAGATCGACGGCGACGGCTGCACGTAGGTATGGCGCGCGCGGGAGAATAGAGATGCGGCGGCGGCTACCAGGGCAAAGGATAGCGCGCGGCACGTCAGCAGGCATGGACAAATGTGGAGCCGTCGCCGTCACCTTCGCCGCGGTGGCGGCCGAGGCCAACGGGAGGAGGAGGAGGACGAAGCGTACGGAGAAGGATCGCGAGAGGTTGTTGGGCTCCACCCACGCCTCGCCGTCGTCGAAGTTTTGCGCATAGCTGTAGGCGTCGTAGGGTGCGGCGCCGGCGCGTGCGCCGGCACACAGCCGGTGGAGCAGAGCAGGATCCGCTTCTTCTCCCGCATGATGCGGCGCCACAGCGCCCTCAGCCTCGCCCGCGCGAACGGCCGCGGGGCCCCCGCGGAGTAGTAGGGCGCCCCCGGACCGCTGACCTTGGAGGAGGAGGAGGATGACGAGGAGTGGAAGGCGACGTCGTCGTCGTAGTAGTCGTCATCGCCGTCGAGGTCAAAGCCCGTGCGGACGAACCCCCACCGCGAGATGGTGGGGGCGCAGGAGCAGGAGGCCTGGCGCTGGAACCGCGGGCTGTAGCCGCCGCCGTCCATGGCGACGATGAGCGCGGCTGCGGCCCGCCTGCGAGACTGCCACTGTCCGTCCCACTGCCTCGGTTTCCTTCCCCGCTGCCTCCCCGCCATCGAGAACACGGCAGACGACTTTGCTGTGGCCTCCTCTTCCCGCTCCATCGCTCGCCGGAGCTCCGCCCCGCCTCGACTCCGACGAGGACGCCGCCGGAGAGCACCCCTGCGCAGCTACAAGGGAGGACGACTCCTCCTACCCCGCCGATCCAAAACCCACTGTCCAGATCGCTTGTTGACCGACGGTGGCAGTGACAGGGTTAAATCATGTCCACGTGGACAATCAGATCAGCTTCTAACCCTTCTCATGTCTATTTTGGACCTAGATGAGATCACTTAAATACATTAGGGAGCCAAGTGTACGATTTCATAGTTTGGGGACTAAGATGAAATCAGCCCAATACTTTAAGGATCGCCCGTGCAATTTACTCAAAAAGAAATATTTTAAAAACAAATGTTTGTCCCAAGTGGTAAAGCGGCTGTCCCACTTTTGGGTAGGACTTATGGATGTTAAAGATCTTTTCTAAAAAAAAGGATTTAAAGTTAATAGTGTAAACTGAACTAGATTTTGGAAGGATCTTTGTATTGTATAAGAACCTTTAAAACTAAAATGTCCAGGTCTTACGGAATAATGAGAAGAAAATATGTTAAACTAGTCAAAGGGCTAAGTTCAACCCCTCTGAACATTTGGTTTAGAAGGGCAATAGTTGGTGATAGGTCCAAGGATTGACTTAGTCTTGTATCCTTAGTTTTACCCATTTATTTAAACGAGATGGTTTTATTTGGCTGTTAAGGAAAAATAGTGTCTTCTTTACTCAATCTTTGTATGGAGATATCATGAAAAAAAGAGAGAATTTCTAGGGAAAAAATTGTTCTGGCAGAGATACCTTTGAAGATAAAGATTTTTCTGTGGTAGGAGAGGTGTGATCCTAATAAAAGACAATTTACTAAAGTGAGCCTGAAAAGGGAACACTAAGTGTAACTTACGTGGCTTAGAAGAAACAGTACACCACCTCTCTTTTGAGTGTCGTATGGCTAAATTTTTGTGGAATGCATTGTTCATCATTTTAAATTTGCATCCACCCAAGAATACGGTCCACTTGTTTGGTTCTTGATAAAGAGCTTTGCTTCAAGTTTGAGAAACCAGGTTATAATGGGGTTGGCACACTACTACAGCAGGTTCGTCACATCCGGTCCAGAACCCCCCATCTCTGACGGTTATGCCACTCGGCACTAACTTGTCGACGGTGATGACATGGTTAACACCAACGGTTCAAAACCAGTAGTGTTAATAGTAGATCATTGTCATTTTGTCATCTGATCCGCTGTTGTTAGGGTTATTTTCGCAGTCGGTTCCTGTCAAAATCCAGCATTTCATATTTTCTAAGCACCGCCGTTTTGTGGATGCAAACGTCTGAAAGGTTCTAATGGCTAGAGGGGGGGGGGTGAATAGCCTATTAAAAATTTTCTACAACAACGCTCAACAAACCGGTTAGACAATTATGAGGAGAATCAAGTGTTGCGCTAGCCTACTAAAAATGCAAGCCACCTACCACAATTCTAGTTTCAATAGTTTCTAACCACACAATGGCTATGTCACTATACTAAGTTAGTGTGCTCTCAAAGACTAACTAAAGAGCCACACTAACCAAACTAACTAGCTCTCACAACTAGCGACACTAAAAAGCCTGATAACCAGTTTGCGGTAATATAAAGAGAGTGTGCAAGATGGTTATACCGCCGAGTCGAGGAGTGAACCAATCAATCATAAGAATGAATACCAATGAAGAACAATCACCTCGGAATCAAATGATGACACAACGATTTTTTACCGAGGTTCACTTGCTTGCCGGCAAGCTAGTCCTCGTTGTGGCGATTCACTCACTTGGAGGTTCACGCGCTAATTGGCATCACACGCCAAACCCTCAATAGGGTGCCGCACAACCAACACAAGATGAGGATCACACAAGCCACAAGCAATTCACTAGAATACCTTTTGGCTCTCCGCTGGGGAAAAGGTCAAGAACCCCTCACAATCACCACGATCGGAGCCGGAGACAATCACCAACCTCCGCTCGACGATCCTCGCTGCTCCAAGCCATCTAGGTGGCGGCAACCACCAAGAGTAACAAGCGAATCCCGCAGCGAAACACGAACACCAAGTGCCTCTAGATGCAAACACTCAAGCAATGCACTTGGATTCACTCCCAATCTCACAAAGATATTGAATCTATGATGGAGATGAGTGAGAGGGCTTTGGCTAAGCTCACAAGGTTATTATATCAATGCAAATGGCCAAGAGAGTGAGCTAGAGCCGGTCATGGGGCTTAAATAGAAGCCCCAATGAAATAGAGTCATTGTACCCCTTCACTGGGCACAACTCGGGGTGACCAGATACTCCGGTCAGATTGACCGGACGTAGGACCCCAGCGTCCGGTCGCCCGATGCTTGCCACATGTCATCGGCTTTAAACGCTGATCACCCGATCTCAATGGTCATCAGTACATTGAAGTAGTGACCGGACGTGCTGCTCAAAGTGACCAGACGCACCAACACCAGTGTCCGGTCGTTTCCAGTAAGGTACCAGAAGCGAAAAATCACGACCGGACGCGTCCGGTCATGTCCGACCGGACTCACCCAGCGTCCGGTCACTCAACGTCTCCCCTATGCGCTGCATATGTCATCATATGTCATACGGACCGAACTCAGACCCTGAGCGTCCGGTCATTTCTTGTGCCAGCGTCCGGTCATGAGACGGAAACCACACGCTCACTGCTGCCACTGACCGGGCGCGCCGGTCCTACCAAGACCAGCGTTCGGTCACTTATAGTGACCTCCATTCACCTGGGTTAAGCCACCGAACACGTCCGTTACACTCTGTGAAACCCTGTCTTTTCTGTACAGTGCGCCGATGGCACCGTCGGACTGTCCGCCGGTGTAGTTTCTAACCCTTGCTTAAATGTGCCAACCACCAAGTGTATCACCTTGTGCACATGTGTTAGCTTATTTTCACAAAATGTTTTCAAGGGTGTTAGCAGTCCACTAGATCCTAAATGCATATGCAATGAGTTAGAGCATCTAGTGGTACTTTGATAACCGTATTTCGATACGAGTTTTACCCCTCTTAATAGTACGGCTATCGATCCTAAATGTGATCACACTCACTAAGTGTCTCGATCACCAAAAACAAATTGGCTCCTACCAATTATACCTTTGCCTTGAGCCTTTTGTTTTTCTCTTTCTTCTTTTCAAGTCCAAGCACTTGATCATCACCATGGCATCGCCATCATCATGTCATGATCTTCATTTGCTTCACCACTTGGAATGTGCTACCTATCTCATGATCACTTGATAAACTAGGTTAGCACTTAGGGTTTCATCAATTCACCAAAACCAAACTAGAGCTTTCAATCTCCCCCTTTTTGGTAATTGATGACAACCCTTTCATAAAGATATGAATTGAAATTCAATTGAATCCATGTTGCTTGTCCAAACATATTTACCATGTGTAAAAGGATATGGACAAGTTTCATAAACCCCGTATGGTAGCAATTGTTTCCCCTACATATGTGCTAAGAGTTTGAATTGTAGCTTGCACATATGTTTAGATAGGAAATATAGGAGACAATGTCTACCAAATGATGCTAAGGTATAAAAGATGGACCTTTGAAGCGTGATACCAATCGGAGTGCACCAATATACCATCCTTAGCACCATAGTTAGCTCGATACCACTTGAAAATGAAATCACTAGATAACCTATGCATGCTAGTTTTTCATTTCAACATTCAAACCTACAACTAGCATACACCACATAAGCATGGATATTGAAAGTTAAAACTTGTGCCATGCAAGGAAACATATGAAATGCACATTCAAATGCACCATACAAGTTTATGAGCTTGCTCCCCCTACTTGTGTGCTCAAAATTTTAATTGATCCCTTTCCTTTGACATATCTCTCTCCCTATGTCAAGTTCTCCCCCGTTGTTGTCTTTTCATTATCTTAGTACACTAATATCTTTGTTTTTCTCCCCATATACTAATATCTTTGTTTTTCTCCCCCTTTGTCATCAATGACCACAAAGGTTCAAAATGTAGATAGATTGAGATTATCAATGTCAATCAATGGGGTGAGGATCATTTTCTCAAATTTGGTCCAATATAGATCATTTGCCAAAGATATTTAACTCGGTTTGATCCAAGGACAAGCTTCTTCACACCTCCAAATAAGGGTTATCTTGTACCATGTTGAGTTAAACACTTAGAGCTCATTTTCTAGATTAAACACTAGGTTTACAAGCCCACAAATATGTCATATGCTACCACTAGATCAAAATAATCATAGAAGCAATAGTGGTACCATATAATCATCAAATTCATTTGATTTTCATGAATGAGCCTATTAAATGTGAAAGATGTCTAGATGCACTAAACATGTCCTTAGCAAGGATGTATGCCATGCCAATCAACTTTTACCTGGGATTGCTTGAAGGAGAGGCATGTCATATGAGTGGGGGGTGCATCAACACATATTTGAAAAATCTAATATGTTCAACTCATTCCTTAACTTGCAAAACCTTTTCTCATCCAATGGCTTGGTGAATATATCGGCAAGTTGATCTTCGGTGCCCACACTCTCAATGCAAATGTCCCCTTTTTGTTGGTGATCTCTTATGAAATGGTGGCGGACATCAATGTGCTTTGTTCTTGCATGTTAAACCGGATTGTTGGTTAACTTGATTGCACTCTTATTGTCATATAGCAATGGCACTTTCTTGAATTTGATTCCAAAGTCACTCAAAGTGGCCTTCATCCAAAGTATTTGTGCACAACAACTACCGGCGGATATGTATTCGACTTCGGTGGTTGATAATGCAACACTATTTTGCTTATTTGATGACCATGAAACAAGTGATCTTCCCAACAATTAACATGTGCCCCGAGATGCTCTTCCTTTCAACCTTGCATCCCGCATAATCCGAGTCGGAGTAACCAACTAACTCAAACTTTGCTCCTTTGAGATACCACAAACCAATATTTTGTGTATGCTTCAATTACCTCAATATTCTCTTTGTAGTCTTCAAATGACTTTCTCTTGGTGAGGATT